AAACATAAAAATATTTATCTAAATAAAACCCCAAAATTTAATTGTACGGCTTAAATATATTATTGATTTATTTGCTTGAAGGTCTTTATTTTTACTACTATTTCTGAAATGGTTGAACATTATATTTTGATCAATTTTTATTAAACATTATATATATATATATATATTAAAAAAGAGGTTACAAAAATTATAAAAACAAATGGTATTCGGATGTAATTAAGTGATATTTTGTGAAAAAATATAACATTTTTTAAAAAAAAAAAAAATTGATGCCGATTAAATAATATCAATATAAATTTTAAATAGAAACCGAATATATTTTAGGATGTGTTCTTTTTATCACATTTTGTTTTCAAGATTTTTATTATTCACAAAAAAAATTAGTTAAAAAAATATCAAATAAAATATTTATTATTTATTATTTATTATTTATATTATAGTAAAAATTAAATTATATTTATAATATCATAACAACACCTATCTATATCACATTATACTAACTACTCTCAATTTAAAAAAATTTTACTATTTAAATTCGAACAAAAAATTCAAAACCCCGAAACAAATACACCATTAGACATCACTTAAATTATTATTATTTTAAATTTAATAGTATTTAATAATCATGCAAACGAAGTTGTATTTAGTTGTAGCCTTGTGGGTTTGGCCTTTGAAATTGAGTTATAAATAATAAAACTTTTTAATTGAAATAATTATTTGATATGATATAAATATATATTAATATGATATGTTAAATATAAAAATAAATATTAATAAAATATAATAAATAAAAAATAAATATATAATTTAATATTTTTTAGAAAAAAAATAATACGATGAAATAGTTAAAAACTAACAAAGAACCTCAGTTGAAAGATATATATATTTCTCCATCCAGAGGTAAATTGTTCTATTTAGCTTAGATTTGTAATTAGTAATTAATTAAGAAGTATATTAGTGTAAATAATTATGATTTAATAGAAATAATTAAAGATTAAAATTAAGATAATTTAATTAAAATAAAAAATATAAATTATAAATTTAAAAAATGTGATTAAAATGTATAATTATATTTAAAAATAAAAAATAACAAATTAGGAGAAAAAAAAATAAAAATATAAGATAAATTAAATATCACGGAGGAGTATAATTTTAAAAATATTGAAAAAAGAAAGAATTAATAAACCCTTAAAATTTATTTTCAATCTCACATGAACATTTCATATTTTATATTTTAGTTCTCACATAATTTCTTCTTTTCTTTTTCAAAATATGATTATACTTCAATTAAATTTTAAAATTCACAATTTATAATTTTTTTAATTTTAATTAGATTATTTAATTATTTTTCATTTTAATTTATAATTATTTTTCTAATATACTTATTAATTAATTACTAATTATATTTTAATTAATTTCTTAATAACAATAATATAGACAATTTATAAAGGAATAACATACTTTTAATTCTATATATTGTTATTATTATTATTATAATAAAATATGTCAGGTGTGTTTGAATATAATTTAATATTATTTAATTGAATAATATTAATGAAAAATATTACTTTTTATAAAAGATTGTATTAATATTATTTTAAATTAAAATTAGAAATTCAAACGCAAATATAGCTGTAATAATAAAAGGAAAATTGATAAAATATTATCTTGACATCAGGCCGGCCCCAATCACTATCCAAAAAACTAGTTAGATTAATTAGATATTTACATATATATATATATATATATATATAATCAATATACTCCCTCTATCCCGTTGGAAGGTGACGTTAGCTTTTTTCAAATAAAATTTTTAATATTAATATTATATTGGATTATAGTTGTAGACACTAAAAATATATGTCTAAAATCAATTAGATATCATATGTTTTGGAAGAAAATAAAATTCCAATAAAATAAATATATGGTATTTAATTATGCACATATGTTAATTTTCGTACAATAAATATCAACCATTAATGCAAAATATGCTTAAAATGGAAGATATCGTACAAATATTACGTGCATAAATAGAGCCATAATAAATTTGGCAGCAAAATAAATTAATCTTGTCAATAAAGGAAATATATAAATTAATATCTTCCAAACAAGACAATGATATAAAGATCTTGTCAATAAAGGAAGTATATAAATTAATATCTTCCAAAAAAGACAATGATATAAAGATTTTGGCGAGAAAGGAAGGTGCACAATCAAATCCGTCAAAAATGGAAAACAACATCCGATGGAAAAGGAAAGATTATAAAATCTTTCCATACACGTGGCACCATCCAAAAAGGAAGCCAAGACCACCAATCCCCTATAAATAGGAGCTATGGTCAGTTCATTTGACACACCGAAGTTGCATCGAGCATTCAAGCAAAGGGGTAAGTCTCTAGACTCTCTCTGTATTGTTCTTCGTGTCATTCGAAGCGTTCTTCGTCGAAAGTCACTAATTTGGACAAATGATCCAATATTGGTTGACGAATCGATGAAGTTAACGTTCTTCGTCTTGTGTCCGAGCCGGAGGAAGGATCAAAGCTCTCAAAGCCATCGAGGAATCCATCAAAGCCAAGGAAGAGCCTCAAAAGCCGCTCTCAAAGCTTCAAGATGTTCGTCGCGTTCTTCATAAAAGGCGCAAACCAGGCCCTCTTCGATCCAAAAGTCAAAGGGACACGCCGCCAAAAGCGCTATGGAGCACTATATCCACCTCTTCAATGATCAAAGCTCTTAAAGCCGTTGAGAAATTTGTCAAAACCAAGGGAAAGCCTCTAAAGTTCATCCTAAACCTTCGAGGTGTTCATCGCATTCTTCACCAAAGCAACAACTCGGTCCTCTTCGATCCAAAAGTCAAAGGGACATGCCGCTAAAAGCGTTATGGAGCACCAAATCCACATTCTCAAAGATCAAAGCTACAGATCGTTTAAAGAGGATATCAAATCCAAAGCTTAGGATCAAATCACCTGCACGGAGACCAAAGCCCTCCAAAAGCGGCAAAGACAAATCATAGATCAAAGCTGCGGAAGATATCAAATCCAAAGCTGAAGATCAAATCGCCCACACGGAGATCGAAGCTCTCCAAAAGGCGGAAAAGACAAACTAAAGATCAAAGTTGTGGATCGTCTAAAGAAGACAACAAAGCCAAAGACGATGATCAAATCGCCAACGCGGAGACCAAAGCCCTCCAAAAGCGGCAAAGCCAAAGCGAAGGTCAAAGTCGCAGATTGTCTAAAGAAGACAACAAATCCAAAGACGATGATCAAATCGCCAATACGGAGACCAAAGTCCTCCAAAAGCGGCAAAGCCAAATTAAATATCAAAGCCTCGGATCGTCTAAAAAAGACATCAAATCCAAAGCCGACGATCAAATAGCCCGCACGGAGACCAAAACCCTCCAAAAGCCGGCAAAGTCAAACTGAAGATCAAACCTCTTCGGATCAAAGAAGCCATCGAAAACCAAGTTGGAAAATAAATCAACCCGGAAGGAGAATCAAAGGACTCATCTAGAGAATAGGACCCACTTTAAATTCAAATTAAATATAATTTGTACAAGTATTTATTAAAAATAACACAATTTTTTTGTCTACAGTAGTAAAAAAGACAAAAATACTCATATTAATATTGTGTAATATAAAAGTAATTCTATTTGTGTAATATATTGTAAGTTGAAATAGTATTTATTACGTTAAATAGGTAGTACAATTACTAAATTAAAAAATGATAACTTATTTTGAAACATACAAAAATATAAAAGGCTAATATTTCAATAGGACGAATGGAGTATTTATTTTTAATACATAATTTTTTAATGAAAAATATACTATTTAATTATTTTTTTAAAAAAAGTATTAATATTACTATATATTAAATATTCAATGAAATAATATTATCTAAGAGTGTATTTTTTTTTTTTAAAAAAAAACATAAATAAGGTTGTATTTGTCTTATAATAGTAAAATTTATAATTTTTATTTAACATAGTAAACACTATATTTTTATTAGAAAATGTTAATTTTGAAAAAACAGTGATTTAAGTTTCAATCAAAATCAAACACCAATAAAATCTTTTACTAAATAAAAAATTACAAATATATATATATATATATAAATATGGAGTATTTTTTTAAAAATCAAAGAAAATACTGTTTAAAAATCAAATCACAAAATCAAATTAGAGGTGTGTTTGTTTAGATAAATTTTGAATGTTAGGTTAAAATAGTAAAATTTTAAATTTAAATAATAGTTTGATTTGATGTTTTAAATATAAAATTATTATTTAATATAATATAATAAATATAAAATAAATATTTAAATTAATATTAAAAAATTATATTTTTTCTGTTTTACCTTTTTTGTTCATTATTTTTATTTTTGTTATTTTTATTATATTTGTATATTTTCAAAAAAAATATAATTATACATTTTAATTAGATTTTTAATTTTATAATTTATAATTTTTTTAATTTTAATTATATTTTTAATTATTTCAATATTAATTTATAATTAATTTTATTATAAAATAATTATTTTTATTAATATTTTTATTAATTATTTATTCATTATATTTTACTTAAATTGTTGTATTAAAAAATGAGATTGGAAAATAATATTAAAAAATAATATCTTCGTCCGACTCTAAGCTTTCATTTACTTTTGGCATGTTGATCGTTAAATATTAATTATTATATCAAAATATAATATAAATTAAAAAAATTATAAAAATATTTTTATTAATATCTTATAATACTAATAATAGGATATTTGGGGAAAAAAAAAATAAAATTATACAAGCGTAACTATTAGACGGACTCCCTCTCTCGAATTTTTAAAAATAAAAAACACATTTATTTAAAAATAAAAATTAAAAAAATGCGGGAAATAAATGAGGTGGTGAGTCAGGTGTGGGCCCCACAAGTGTGTGCTGTGTTGTCTGCGTGATGGTGCCGGCGCGTGTACAAGATCAGTAGCGTATATATTTCAGTATTCGTATTTGTGATTATGATGAGCACAACCGTCTCCATGAAAACGATCGACGAGACATTTTTGGATTTTCTCCCTCCAACAGCAGTTTGATTTTTGAATTTTTTGAGGAAAAAATTGAAGATGCGTTGAAGATGGGAAGGACTAATCGGTACTGCGGCCTCGGCTACGATTGCTCCTTCAAGCTTCTGTTGATCGGAGATTCCGCCGTCGGCAAGAGCAGCTTGCTCCTCAGCTTCGTTTCCGACGATTTCAACCACGAGTTTCATCAGGATCTCACCCCGACCATCGGTATATATATATAGATATGTTTGTTGATTAATTGCTTAATTAGTGTATAATTTGTTCTGGTTTTTATAATTTCGGAATTTGATTGGATTGTGGATGACGAACAGGAGTGGACTTCAAGATAAAGTTTATGAGTTGTGGAGGGAAGAGATTGAAACTGACGATTTGGGATACAGGTGAGCTCAGCTAATCTATGGATTTTGAATTTGATTTTGATTTTGATTTTGATTTCAAAATGTTTTTGTTTATTCATTTGCAGTAACTATTGAATTGATTGGAACTTGAATTTGTTTATTTATTTATTATTATTTTTTAAATATTCCTGCAGTTTTGGTGAATTTTGTTTGAGTCCATAGATTACATTTGTTTACAGCTTTGATGAAGTTATTTTTTATCAAGTCAAATTAGTTTTTGAATTTAAATTTTAAATGGAACATAGTTGTTAGTTGTTGGGATTGATGTTCCAAATAAATATTAGGATCTTGTATGGTATGTTATTTAGATATGCGCCCAGCATGAGTTGTCTAGGGTGTTACTATTTACTGCCAGTTCATATTTTATTCGTATATATTTGATCCGTCCAAAAATTATAGTTTTGGTTGTGTTTGATACGAGATTTAAGAAATATTGATATTATATTGGTAGTAGGTAAAAAGTAAGGGTAAAAGACTTTTTTGTCTTGTGAGTGTATTAGTGTAAAAAGTAGTGGCAATTGTGCAATAATAATGAAAAGGTAAAGATAGTTTTATAGTGATATGATTATTTATGAAAATGAGACTATTGTTTTGAGACGGACAAAAATGGTAAACAAGACTATTGTATTGGGATGGAGGGAGTATATATTAGTATATGAATTATTTTCCATATTGTTTGTATTTTGTACTTCATTAGTCTTCAAAATATATTGAATTGCAGGTTATATATAATACCAGCTATTGAAGATTTATTGACTTGGTGTTGTGTAGTGATGGTTTGAATTCGGTTCAGATATTGTTTAACAATATTGCGAGAATTGACAACAAAATGAATAATTAGTCGACGACATATGACAACTGGAACCATTTTAGATCATTTGCAACACCTGATTCTTGTGGTTGTTGCTGATTATTAATGAATGGTTTTTGATTGATGCTAGTTAATCTACCGAGGAAGTAAAAGGCTGAGATATAAACTTTTATAAAGACAAAAGTGGTATAGTATTATCCAAATGTTACTTGATCGATACTTTTATGTGATGAGGTTTGGGGTAAAAGTTAATGTAAGGGTTGCTTTATTAATGGTATGTATGACTCGATTGCTGATAGCCGGGATTGATATTGCTAAATTATGATCATGATTTAATTTGTTCTTGTATAGCATAAAAAAATGGTAGATTCACTTGAATCATATGGTTGAAGTATGTAGAATCTCCGTGATTTTTAAAGTGATGTGGTTATTTTTCACGATAGAAAATGAGACGCTTGATTATTAGGAAGAAAAATATTCATAGTATGTGAAATTCCTCGACTAGAGTGACACCTTTTAATGAAAAGCGAAGTTTAAAGAGATTAGTTGATTAAATTGTGGTAAATGGATTGTTCTGAATTGGTGGTTTTACTCGGCTACTATAAGTATATTTTCTGATACTAACTCGATGGTATGCTCCTCGGCTGTATTTTATCTTATTTTTAAAGGGATTTCTATTTAATTCCATGTCTAATGACTTCTTCAATTTCGGTTTATGTAATCTGTTTTTATTACCATTTGTCATGCAGCCGGACAGGAAAGATTTGGAACACTGACGAGCTCTTATTACAGAGGAGCACATGGAATCATCCTCGGTAAAAATATATTCTTTAGCATAATATATTTTATGTAAACAAATATATATTGTATTTTTTATAATATTAATTAGGAAGCGTATCGAATATTTATTTATTTAATTTCCTTGCATATATGCTTAATGAAGATTTTTTTTGATAATTTTGTCAAGATGATTGTCTACTTGTGGTTCTGTTTTTTAGTATCTTAACTTGCTTTTGGAGAAAATCATTTCAGTGTATGATGTAACAAGACGAGAGACGTACACAAGCGTATCCAAGACATGGATGAAGGAGCTCGAACGATACTGCACAAATCCTGATTGTGTCAAGTTACTCGTTGGCAATAAAGTCGATAGGGTAAAATCCATTAACCCGGCATCTCGTCGTGATCCTTAATTTTTTTTCAACTTCGATTGTTTGCATACATACATATATATATATATATATTGGTATTAAGAGCGAGTATAGTAATTAGCCGTAAAACTTGGTTTTAGGATAGCGAGCGGGTTGTTACTACGGAAGAAGGAATGGCCCTTGCAAAGGAGCACGGATGTTTATTCGTCGAGTGTAGTGCCAAGACTCAAGCAAATGTGAAGAATTGCTTCAAGGAACTCATTGTGAAGGTATGCTTCTTTTACTTTTGATGGACTATAAATATTAAATACTCTAGCCCTACCTATCGTTGTCCACCTTTTCATTTATGTCTGTTTCACTTATTATGTCATTTTCATTTTTTGAAAAGAATTATACACTTTAATCTCATTTTAAAATTTTTTAATTTTCTTAATTTTAATTAGACTAATTAGTTATCTTAATCTTAATTTAAAATTATTTTATTATACGATAATTATTTTCACTAATACATTATTAATTATTCACTAATTATATCCCTCGTAAATTCCCATGTCTACCGTAAATGAGAAACCGTAGCCGGGATGGAGGAAGTGCTTCAATTGATAGTTTACGAGAGTCATTTAATGTGAAAAACAAGACTTTAGAAAAGAAAATCCATGTAATCTGTTAGTTTTTTTTTACATCTCTATTCAATGTGCATGTTTTTTCAATGAAAATATGTTTTCTATTTTTCTCAATCCAAATAGTCTTTTGGTTTTATAGTAGATTAAAAAATAATAATATTTTATTAACTAATGAAATGTGTAAGATTATTTTTATATTTTTGCTATTTGTACTTTATGAAGTATACAAAATAATTGTATTTATTATATATTTGTAATTTATATAAAAATTAAAAGATATTTTTGTATTAGTATATGATTATTTTTAATAATATAGGAAAAAAAAATTTGAATGATACAAATAAAAATAGTAAAAATAGTACTTTAAAATTGAGATGAAGGAAATATTATTTTATCTTTTACAAAATACTATACGAAAATACTATTTAAATTGAAACTAAAACCAAAACCAAAGATATCCGGTAAAAATCATCAAATAAATTTTTCATAGGTAATGCGTGGAATATGATTGATCTTGAGTTGAGCACTGAGCGTGATAAAGTTAAAGAATCTTAGTATTAGGCGCTCAACTTGTTTTTCAAAGAAAATAAATCTATGTTTTGAATAATATAGAACACTTGATTGAGGACTTATTAATACCATGCTGATTGTCCCGATCACCACATATGAAGATATCTAGTATTGAAAAAATATAATAAACAATATATGATGTATAAACTATTAGTATGTGTTGTCAATTTTACTTTATATGTGTACTGTAAATTTATATCTAATGTATAATCTGATATATATTACCGTGCTATCAATAGCACCATAACCGCCGTCTATAGAAGAAGTTTTTCGGATATTTGTTTTTCATAACAAAATTTTGTTGTCTCTACTTGATTAGAATTCATCGAGCTTTCAAATAAGTATAAATTTCTGCGACTTCCAAGTAGGTTAAAGTTTTAATTTGTTTTCCTAATCCTATCACTGTACTCTTTTTTGGTTAACTATCCATATCTTTATATTTTGTATTTTTCGGGCAAAAGTATTTGGAAAACAATTCTTACGATCAAATTGGTCTTTAAAATGTTTCGTAGTTTCTGTACATTTTAACGAACATGTTGCATTTCAGATACTAGAGAAACCGAGTCTACTAGAAAAAGGCTCTACTCCGGTGAAGAACCAAATTTTGAAGCAAAAGGAAGTTTTCGAAGCGCAACATAGTGTCAACTGTTGCCTCTAGTTGTCGATAAACCCGGTTTTGTATTAATCTTGCAAGTCTTTTCTACGGTGTTTGTTACATATGTATGTACAGGGCTATGTCATTTATTTTTCGACATTCATTTAATTTGTTTTATTTTCGGATTATTTAAAGGGTGTGTTTGTTTCAAGGATTTGGAAATACTTCTACTATTCATATAAATTTTTTCCTTAAGAAATCAAATAAAACACTTATTTTTTATTTTCATAATATACTAAAAATTTTTAATTTTACATTCTAAACATCACATCAATATCTATTTATATAATATAATACAACTATTCTAATTCAAATTTCAACTCAAAATTCAAACTCCAAAACAAACACATCAATATCTATTTATATAATATAATAACTATTCTAATTCAAATTTCAACTCAAAATCCAAACCCCAAAATATACACATGTTCTTTTGGAAATTTTTTAAAATTTTTACTATTCATTCAACATTTTTCTTCAAAAAATGTTAAATCAAATACTTATTTTCATTTTCATTTTCTATATTATACTTTCTCTGTCTGGCTAATAAGTATATATTTACTTTTGACATAGAATTTAAAAAACAATAGTATTTTAATGGTAGCGGAAAGTTAAAGGTAGTATAAAGATAATTTGTCCTTCCTTTTTCGTACAAAAGTATATGATGGTGCTTTGTCGGGATTATAGACTGACCCCACAGGTTGTGCTTTATTCTCACTCACGCACACCCTGAGAGACTTTTCGGGGGGACTCATCCTCAAATTACTCTGGAGCAAGCTTAACTCTGAAGTTCTTTAAGTAGGGCTTCTGAAAAGGAATGTGCACATTATTGACATAAGTAGTCTATTCAATTCATTTAATTTATATTCAATCTTAGATGTCCTGACACCGGGTCATCTACGGGAGTTAGCCTAGCACCGGCTCAACTTCGGGGGTATTACATTGTGGAAAAAAATAAAGTATTTTATGAAATAGTTACTTTTTAATTGGATAACCCAAAATATAAAAATGTATACTTTCTGACTTGACGGATGTAGTATTGAAAATTAATTTTGTATTCAAAATATGAGTATGATATTCTAAATGAATAAAAATAAATTGTTGAAAATAAAATAAACAAATACTATGATTTTGACACTTTGTTACTTATTTATATATTTTAATTAGGAATTTAGAAAAAATAAGTAAAAGCATTATTGTAAACTAAAAATTTTTACGGTGTGTTTGTTTGAGGGTTTGAATTTTGAGTTGAAATTTCGTTTTTCTCGTGTAATCCTCTGTACTTCCCTAATGCATCTGAAATGATTTTAAATGAATATAAGTATGTAAACATTTGAAAGTAGCAAATTAAATTTAAAGAACATACCGCCGTTTGTTCATAGTATGGATAAAATACATTCTTGTCGGCCCCGCAATGTCTACGACCGCATACCTATACAGAATACAATAACAAGATAGTTAGTTTGCAATTAATAATTCGTATAAAATTTTGTATAAAAATCTAAGCATGTATGTCCCGGGACGTAAAATTAATGTTAATGCTAAATGCAAGAAAACTTTAATATGAATGAAATGCAAATATACAAAAACAGTCAAAGTAAAAGTTTTGAAGTTCCCTATATTTTTGGGTGCGGTCGAAAAAATTTATTCCATTTCCCTCGCATAATCCTCCGTGCTTCCCGAATACATCTGAAATGATAACAAATAAATATAAGTATGCAGTCATTTAAAAGTAGAAAATTAAATTTAGAAAACATACCGTCATTTGTTCATAATATGGATTAAATGCATCCCCGTCGGCCAGCATACCTACACATAATACAAAAACATGATAGTTAGTTTGCGATTAATAATTCGTATGAAATTTTGTATGAAAATCTAAGCATGTATGTCCTGAGACGTAACATTAATGCTAATGCTAAATGCAATGCAAATCTACAAAAACAGTAAAAGTAAAAGTTTCGAAGTTCTCCCTTTTTTAGTGCGGTCAAGATAATCCATTTCCGTTTCCTTCGTGCAATCCTCCGTGCATCCCTAATGCATCTTAAATAATTTAAAATAAATATAAGCATGTATACATTTGAAAGTAGAAAATTAAATTTAAATAACATGTCGTTTGTTCATAATATGGATCAAATGCATCCTCGTCGGCCCTCGCAATGCCCACGATCGCATACCTACATTATTATAAAAAAACATGATAGTTAGTTTTCGATTAATAATCCATATGAAATTTTGTATGAAAATCTAAGGATGCATATCCCAGGACGTAAAATTAATGCTAATGCTACATGCAAGAAAGTTTTAAAATGAATGCAATGCAAATTACAAAAACAGTGAAAGTAAAAGTTTCGAAGTTCTCAATTTTCTTGGTGCGGTCGAGAAAGTTCATTCCATTTTCCTCGTGCAATCCTACGTGCTTCCTGGATGCATCTGAAATGATTTCAAATTAATATAGTATGTAGACATTTGAAAGTAGAAAATTAAATTTAAAGAATATACCGTCGTTTGTTCGTACAAATTTAACGATCTCTCTGATCCCGTACAAATTCATTGTGCCCCAAAGGATACCGACTTTGGATATAAAACATTGGTGAAAAATCAATTTTTTTCTTGGAGATTTTGCGAGAATTATTTTTAGACGACTTTATATTTTTGTCGTTTTTGGTGGGGATCGAAAACTCAAGCTTTTGAAGTATTTACTGGAAAACAAGAACCCAAATATCCGGCGAAGACTACTACACTAGACAATGGCACGCAAAAGTCGATGGATTTTATCTCGAAATGCCGATAGGGAATGCGACACTACTAAAGAAATATAATTGGTGAAAATAATTATCGATGAAATATTTTGTATTATTATTTTTATTATTGTTAAATAATAATAATTGCTTATTGTAAGACATGAATATAGGAATAAGTCTTCTCATTTGTTTTTATTTATTTTAAATTTTTTGGTTTTGGTTTGTGATCTTGTATTTAATTTTGTTCCAATGGTCTTATGGTAAATGTTTGTTTATTTTCAATTTGAATATTATTATTGTATGAATTCAAATTTAATATTGTCTAGAGATCTTCGATATTTAGTTTTAGATTTGTTAGATTTAGATTGATTACGTTATTGATTTATAATAAGAGTAGACTAGTGTGATTAAATTTCCAAGTGAAATCTTATATAAAATATCCTACATTATTAAGGTGAATATTTGACTTTTTAATTTCTGATTATTTGAAGGGTTTTTTTTTTTTAATAATATATTTTATATTTATTATTATTATTTTTGGTAACGTACATTACTGTAAAAATTAAATAGTAAAATAAAAATAAAAAACACTCCAATTCAATGATGCATAATCTTAGTATGGTTCAACATAAACCCGCCGGCGAACATAACATCGCACAAGTTTCCGGCCGGCGAAGAACTCCGGGAGGATCTTCCGGCACGCATCATCGAACTCTTCTCCTTCATGTAATAATCCCGTTGCCGGGTTCTACCGCATTTTTCAAGACCACCTAACAACACGTCGTACGTTCCTAACGCGACATCGACGCCATCGTCTTTCATTCTTTCGAAAGTTTTGAGTCCTCTCTCCGAATCTCCCGACGCAAAATAAGCGTCGATCAAAGCTGTGTAGACAGAACAACCCCGATCTTCTTCACGCAATAAATCGAAAACTTTTGCCGCCAAAACAGCTTCTTTGCCGCGACCAAGGCGGCGAATTATGCACGAATTCAAATGGTCGCCGAGAGAAAAGCCTTTTTTCGACACTTGATCGACAATTTCGACGATTTTCTGAAACGAATTACCTCGGACGAACAATCCTAATAACGTAAGATACGCGACGCAGTCAAGATCGACGCCGGCCGTCGCGCTGTATTTGTAAGCCAACAGAACGCCGTTTTCCCTGCCGCAAGCACCGTTCATTTCAATAATTTTCGAGACGACACTGCTCTCTAATCGAACGCTGCGACTTTCCGTCATTTCGGCAAGCAAAGAGTCGATCGCAGCGAGATTTCGCTTACTTGTTAAGTGCCGAACGAGAGCGTTCTCCGCATCGAAGTCGCCGGGAGGTTTCGGATCAGATTCAGCGGTGTCTTCGTCCGAGTGTTCTTCGGAAAAGTGTCGATTGACTTCTCTCAAAAGGGCATCGCATTCCCCGGCGATTTTGAAAGCTTCGACTGCTTTTTGATACACCGGATGACGGAGGACTAAGAAATTCGCCTTCATGTACTCGAGAACTTTCATTATCGCCGATATTTCGCCTCTTTGTGAAAAGATTTCGATCAAAATGTTGCACGCGGCTTTATCAGGGTGCTCGCCAGCGTCTTGCATTTGGTTAAATATCTCCAAAGCTTCCACGGACTTTCCTGAAAAAATTAACCGGCATTAATACCACAATCAAACTTAACCAGCAATCCTCGAGCACTAAAAAATCTCCTAACCGGGAGCTTCGTATCCATCAATATGATCAAATCCGCATGTCACACAATGCTTCGATAGGTACTAAAAATATTCCGTTTGATTTTATATTCAAAACATCACATCAACATCAACATCTATTTATATCACATCATACAACTATTCAAATTCAAATCTCAATCCCAACATCCAAACCCTCAAACAAACACACCAAAAATGTCACAATATAAAGAATATTTAAAACATTAAAGGGAATGAATTCGAATCCAAACCAACTTTCCGAAAGTTAAAAATCCATCACCTTGCCAAACAAACTATTGATTCTAATAGACATTTGAAACACTTTAAGCTAAATCCCTCCAACCAAACACAGCCTAAAAGAACTAACAACATATTCGAATCCTAGGGTGTGTTTGGTACATGGAATTGAGAGTCGGAACGTTATCATTTATCTCCCATATCCAGATAAATAGAAATAAATTAAAGTAAAATTTCAACTTACAAATCATCGTATCTAAATTATTATTTAAACAAAAAAAACCACCAAAAATATATCTTCCAGATTCTCACTAGTTAAAACTCTTTTGTCCGATTAATCATCCAGGTAGTTGCATTTTTTATATTTATCAATTGAATTTTCTGCTTTAAGGAACAAAACAATTAATTCCTTTTCTTTATTCTATGTTCAATTCTTTTTTTCTATTCAATTCCATTTTATGTACCAAACGCCCTTAATACCTTTCAAAACTACATTCAAATCGAACTCCAAATCTTCCCAACCAAACACCTACAAACATATAAGAACCGACATCGAATTCGAATTCTAACACCTTTCAAATTGCATTCAAATCAAAATCAACAACCACATTTCCAAAATCTCAAAAAACCAAATGGACAAACCTCACTCACCACAACAAGCAAGATGATCCATGATCACAGTATATGTTCGACGATTCGGAGCAAGGCCACATTCGAGCATCTCCTTATACACACCAGCTGCCTCATCCACCTTCCCATGATCAAGCAATATCTTCATACAAGCAGTATACGTCACCACCGTCGGCCGGCACCCCTTCCCACGCATTTCCTTCCACAATTCAATAGCTCCGGCGATGTCGCCGCTGTTCGACACCCAATGCATCAATGAAGTGTAGGTAACAACGTCGATTTTGACGCCTTTCCCCTTCATCTCCTCGAACACATACATCATCGACGAAATCCGCCCGGCTTCCCCGAAAATGTCCGCCATTGTCGTGTAGGTGTACTGATCGTGCTTGAAATTCCTCAGCCGCGCCGCCCAATTGAAGAACAGCCAAGCCTTCTCCATCGGAGGGTGCGCCTTGAGGACTTGATTGACGGTGAACGAATCGAGTTTGAATGGGAGATTCTCCAGCTGCTCGCGTGCGGAATCCCAAGCCGAATACTTGAGAATGTTGTAGATTTTTGAGATCTTCTCCTTGGCGTAGATTTTTGGCTCTTCGACATGGTTTTTGGCGGAAGCTTTTGGGCGGCGGCGATGTCCGATGTTTTGGTGGCTGATGGGTTGCCGGCGGTCGGCGATTTTCAGCGATAAGTACCTCCGGGGGACGGCGAGGAAGAAAGGTTTCAATTTTTGGAGGAATCGATGGGAATTTTGGGGAGAAAACATAGAGAAGAGACCTTCATTGGAGGCAATTGAGCGATGGTATTTATTTTCGAATTGGGAATTTGCAGAGTTCAGAAACCCTAATTTGAGGGTGAATTGGATTTGGGGATGCGGGTAAGGTTGTTCTTCTTGTACTCTATTTTTATTTATTTGTTTATAATATTACTCCGATAATTCCACATATGTAAAATATTTAGGGATATATTTTATCTGTAAGATTTTGATTTTGAATATTAAATTTTGAATTGAAATAATAGTTTGATGTAATAAAAATATGTATTGATTTAATATTTTGAATGTAAAATAAAATTTTAATGTAATATATAAAAAATAAATATTTTAATTTGATATTTTTTAAATTAAAATAATAATAATAAAGTTATATGAAAAATTGAACAAGTAAACACACCCTATGCATTTTGATTTTGATCATTTACACATAATTGGTTTTTTTAAAGAAAAATATTATATATATATATTTTAACTATATTTTTAAATTTTATAATACATAATTTTTTTAATTTTAAATAAATTATTTAATGATTTTAATTTTAATTTATAATTAATTATATTATATCATAATTATTTTTTTAATTACTTATAAATTAAAATTTTATTAATTATATATATTTTCTTCAAATTCTCGTATTTACAAGAATTCGGACATTTTATCGGAATTGAAAGAGTAATATTTATACTATTTTAACATTTAATTTTAAGTATTTAAAAATTGTCTTCATATTCCAAAGTATAATTAACAAAGAACTTTTATGTACACTTTCAGAAAGTTTTATACTATTTTTTTATTTAATTTTTTTTTTAAAAAAAATAACAAAAGTTAAAATAAAACGATTTTTTTGTGTGTAATATAAAAAATTATATAAAAAATATAAAGTATATTATTTTATGTTGAATATTTAATTTATTGTAATGACTTTTTTTATTTTTTATAATGAGTAGTTGAAGTTTTTTTTTTTTTTTTCTTTTTAATTTTTATATAAAATATTTTATATTTTGTATTACTCTTTTTGTCTTGTTGGAAAAGTGACGTTTGCTTTTTGTACATAAATTTTTTAATATTAGTATTATATTGGATTGTAGTAAAAAAAATAAAAAAATACTCCTGTTAGTATGATGTAATATATAAAAATAATGGTATTTGTATAATATATTGTAAGTTGAAAGGATATTTATTATGTGAAGTAGGTAGTCCAATTATTAAATTAGGAAATAGTAACCTTATTTTTGAACGGATAAAAATAAAAAATGGTAATCTTTTAATAGGACGAGGGAGTATTATTTTTAGAGAATTACAGTTGGAAAATAACGAAAGAAACACATAACCAAAATACCTAACACATAAAACAAGAAAGAAAATAACACCAATTTTATTTGTATATACAATCTTATCATTCTTACAATTTCGGTTTATTAAAATATAATACCAAAAAATTCAATTTCTCTTTATTCATCTTTATCTTGATAAAAAAAAATAAAATATTTTAAAAAACTACTCTCCCGGTAATACTTATTATAAAAAAAAATGTATTTTTTTTGTCCGTAATAATTATGCTATATTTTTATTTTTTGTTGTCCAAGAAACGTATGCATAATCCATTTATAGTAAATATTTTTATCAACCCACAATTTCATTACAATTACTTTAACAAAAGTAATAAATAAATTACCATCATTTTTTTTCTACTAATCCCATTTATTTTTTATTAATTTCTTTTAATAAATTTTACATAATACTTCACTTTATTTTTTATTTACCTTATTTTTATATTAAAATACTATCATTATTATTTATTTTTATCTCCATACCCGAACATCTTATATACTTATATATTTGGAGACGAAAGTGTTCAGCCACGTCGCCCTTTTTTTTTTTTTCTTTTACTTTTTTGTTGTGGACCCACTACAAATTTAACCTAATTAATATCATTCTAATTTACAATATATTAAACAAATGTCATTAATTTTATATTACACAATATTAATAGACGTATTTTTATCTTTTTTATTACAACTTAATATGATACTAATATTCAAAAATTTATATTAAGAAAATAAACGACAATCTTTCAATAGAACGGAGAGAGTATGTAAACTTATTTTTATAATATCTATATTTAATCGATAAAATCTACCAATATCCAATATTTAGAATACTAAATGTTGATCGTATAAAATATTTTAATTTATTCAAATAATTTTTATATTAAAAAAGTTATTTATTTAATAATAAAAAATAATTTTAACGATTTAATAAAATTTAAAACGACAACGCGCGTAGCACGTGAACCCGACTAGTTATAACATAAATAGTCCAAATAGAAGGAGTATATGTCGTCACATTTAATATTGCGTCATTATCCAAAAAGAAGCCCTTTTATTTTCTAATGTAAACAATTTAAGACAAATAAGTAGCAACATATGTTGTTAAGACTTAAAGATGAGTGTTTTAAGTTTGTTTTATAACGATTTGTCCGAATGAAAATGTTTGAAAAAATAATTTAAAATAATGAATTGAAATTATACTTTTGGATAAAATCCAATACTATCTCCATCTTTAAAAAAAAAAAAAACTCAGAATTTTTTTTGGTACAAATTTAATATATTGTGTAATTTTTGTCATTTATAAAAAAAATTAGTAGAAAATTTGTATGATTTTTTTATTTTAAAAAAGTGAACTTATTTTTAGAATACAAAAATAATAATAATAATAATAAATCATATGTTTAGATGACAATAGGAAGTGACAATTATATTTATAAATTTTTTTAAGAAAATAATAATTAAGGGTTAAAATCAAACTAATTCAATGAATAAGAGATCAAAATTATTATTTTAAAAATGAAGAGATTAAAATATATTAGTGAATAAAATGGATCAAAATATATTTTAACATAATAATAATAATAATAATAATAATAATAATAATAATAATAATAATAAAATTACGGAAGTAAAATGATAAGGGGCTAGTTACGGGATTAAAAAATATATTTTATACTAATAATATTTATAGCAAATATCTCTTAAGGAGAAATTGCAAAAAGTATCCTCCCTATATATCAAATTATTATTTTTGTTATTTATTTATTACCGTTAACAAAATATATTTTATATGTTTACAAAAGTCATTATTTCTATCATTTAGCTACGTATACGTGCGTGCAAAAACTGTTGTGTGAACATCACGCGTGCCAATAAAATAAATAAATAACAAAAATAATAATTGATTATATGTAAAGGTATATTTTACAATTTTCTCTTTTTCTTACACTACCGTTAAACATTACATTTATTTTTACAAATATCAAAATTATTTACGCACTTAATTTATTAAAAAACTCTCCAACTTAATTTATTAACTGAAGAATATACTTTCCAAAATATTCTTAATTTATTTCACAATCAATATAATACTATATTCATTAAATCACATTTTCAACTTAAATGAACATATATTTAATGAAAGATAGACAATTTATATACCAATAAATTAAAAGTGAAAAAAAGAAAAACATAATTTATACTACTATGACATTTTTATATATTTTGATAAAAATAATAAACCCTATCTTATATACTCAATTTATGCTATTTTGATTGGATTTGAAATTTTAAAAATAATAATATTTTAGTATAAACTTAAAATAAATAGAAAGTAAATAAAAAATATATATATTTTAAAAAAAATGTATTAATAAATTCATAAAAAAAGATAATAATAAAATCATTTTATTATAACAACCAATTTAATGAAAACAGTTGAGAATTAACATTTAATTCCGATTAATATCCCAATCATTAATTAAATTGAATAATTGCTTATATATATATATATATAAATTGACAGTACATCGACAGAAAATCAATACACAAAATAGCAACTAATTATCTGTCCAATCCTCAAAATGGCGTGTGCCATGATAAAAATACTTATATTGTTCATCTTTCTACAGGTTAGCATTCGTCGTATGTTCACAAAGAGATGTAATTTATTTCGACAATTATAAAAAAAAAAAAATACTTATATATATATGCTTTTTCAGGTTAATATTCACCGGATGTTCGCGGCACATTGTAATATATTTTGGCACAAACAAACGGTCTCGATCCTAAATAATCTACCAGATCCGGTGAGGGTTCATTGCGCCTCCAAGAACCACGAATTAGGATTCAGAACACTAGCCGCGGACGAAGCTTTCCAATGGCGATTTTGTGAAAATTTCTTTGGGGTTACTTTATACTTTTGTCATTTCTGGTGGGGATCGAAAAATAAAGCTTTTAACGTGTTCAATGGACAGGATGATATCGTAGCCCCTAAGAAACAAAAATATACGAGACAATGGATCGTAACACATAATGGTTTTTATCTCAAAGAGCCGATAGGCAATTCTACAATAATAATGAAATATGAGTGGTGAAACCTAGGATTGTTGTAAGACATGGATTAAAATGACGTCAAAATAATTGTTGAATGTAATATTTTAAATAAAGATTTGTTTTTTTTTTTTTTAATTTAATAGTTTAAATATCTAATGAAGTATGATGTTGGTTCTATAATCACTTTCGGAAAATAATCCATTCACGATTTTATTGGTTTGAGTGATTATGCTGGATAATATTATTTTATTTTATTCAACTTAAATCACATTTGTACTATAATTGATGTTTGAATCACTTTAAAAATAAGTAGAAACCAAGAACAAAAGTTGGATAAATTTTTATAATAACGTACTTTTAAATTGTTAAAATTATTCAAAGGTTATGATGCTAATATCATTGTATTTTTCTATAAATCTTTTATAATTTATTTTTAAATTTTATTAATTATACTTAAAAAGCTTAAATTATAGTATAAGAAAATAATTTTTAAATTTGATTATTTATATTTTAATTTTGGAAAAAAAAATTTAAGTCTCAATATAATCAATATTTATCAATTCTAGTCCAAATAATAAATATTCATAAATTTTAGTCTCATTATAAATATTTTAATTAATATTAATTTCATTGTTACAAAATAAATAGAAATGGCTGACATGAATATAACGAAAATGATGCGACAACCGACTTGATCAGACACGATTATAAAATGAAACACGACCA